CGGGCTGGGGATTCGAACCCGCCACCTTAGGTGTATGTGGCTGGCGCCTTAGCCGGTTGAGCTATAGGTGCCGAGCCCGCCTACCTTTTTCAAATAGTAAACTTAGTTAACTGTTTATCTAATTGGTACAAATTCATAATGAACAATTCCTCTCTGATATCAAAAAAAGGTCAGCAACATTGTTTTGTCTCTTGATTTGGACTCAGGGAACCTTTTTGCCATGAACTGGCCGAGGCCAACTGCATTGTGCACTTTGGTGCTTTGTCTTAGGGCCACATTGGTGCACCCATGTTTCATCACCAGTGATAACTTGGCCAGAATATCATCTTCCCTCTCCAAAAGATCTTGGCAAACTTCGACTCTCTTTGGCTTTTGTTCATCGGTGAGCTCCTTTGGGACCATTTTTGCACACACCTTTCTCATGCACACATTTCCAGTTAAGGTTTTCCTAACTGTTTCTCCATCACTGTTTACTTGGTGTGTTGCGCTTCTTACAGTCAGCTGATGATTGTGACACACAATTTGATGAATGTTTGCAATGTTATCAGTTCTGCTGTTATTGGCTACCCTGAACTCTCTTCATCAGTGACACTTTCTCTCCCCTCAGAAAAACATTTAATCCATTTGTACACTGCTGTGTTCTTCATGCATTATTTCTATAAACTTGGATTAACATGTCCCTGATTTCACTTCCACTCTTGCCAAGTTTAACAAGAAATTTAATGTTTGGGCCTAGTGCAGTGGCTCATGCCTATAATCCTACCACTCTGGGAAGCTGAGGCGGGTGGACTGTTTGAGCTCATAGGTTCAAGACCAGCCTAAGCAAAAAGGAAGACCCCCATCTGTACTAAAAATAGAAAAAAAATGAGGCAAGAGGATCACTTGAGCACAAGAGTTGGAGGTTGCTGTGAGCTATGATGCTCTACCACAGGCGACAGCTTGAGACTTTATCTCATAAAAAAGAAATTTAATGTTTGCTCTTTATTCTAATTCAAACTCTGATATTCTCGCAATGGCATACAAAAACATGAAATGACAACAAAAAACTCCATGAAACAACAATAATGAATGCCACCCAACAAGATACCGCCACACATCAACACAAACACAGAGGTGAGACACTGATATGCCAAGGTTATAAAACCTCACCCAGCTGTCTGTACAGTGCTGCCAACCTAAGCACACGGTGGCAAGTTAACTGTTAGACCTGGTAGCTTTACAGATCTTTACAATTTGTCCAGCAGGCTTTCTGGTTTTCACCTGGGCCAGGCCCAAGTTATTTCACCAGAAAAATCCAGAAAATTTTTTAAAAATAAACTTTGTGCACACTTACTTTGTTCCCACTTGAATGAAACAGCACTCTCTGTCCTAGTCTCCGAGTTCTCCACCCCATGGCTACCTCTCCAAGTCAGTGTTCACAGACGGATCTCGCTATTTTTACTACATGAGCTCACCATTTTAAGGATGCACCTTAACCAAGTTAATCCATGTCCTAATGATGGTCTTTCAGGTTTTTCTCCTATTCTTCACTACTAGACACAGTGCTCCAAACTAAGTTAGACTCTCACTGGATTAAAGATTTAAACTTAAGACATGAAACTATAAAAATACTAGAAGAAAGTGTAAGGAAAACACTTGAAGAAATCGGCCTGGGTGAACATTTTATGAGGAGGACAGCCC